AGTTCTCTCTTTTGATTTTATATTGGAGTGGCCAGATTGCTTTTGTCTTCAGGAGTTCCCACAGAGGCCCAAGTCAGATGGGGATCAAATGCTCTCAAATGCTCTCCTAAGGTCTGGATCCTTCCAGGATAGATTTTGGCCTCAGGAATTTGGGGGTTGGACTGGCCTGGGAGCCTGGCCCAGGAAAGATGCTGATCTAGGGCAGCTGGTGGCCATGCCACCCAGAGATGCAAAGGAAGATGGGGGCGGGAGGCGGCCCAAAGGGCCCCTGGGGACTGCACTGAGGAGCTGGGTTGGTCTGGATGCAAAGGACCAGAAAGAGGAAAGGTCAGCCGGGGTGTCCAGGAAAGAGGCTGGCAGATTGTGCAGATCCAGGGAGGCAGAGCGAGGTGAGGGTCAGGGTCAGGCCCAGAGTGCCCCTGGGGACCCGAGAAGGAACTGAGTTGCTCTGGAAGCACAGGATCAGGAAGCAGTGGTGGTTCTCTAGGTGTCTGGGGTGCCAAGACAAGGAATGGGACAGGACCCAGGCTAAGAGGAGAGACCATGGGGGAGATGTGATGGTGAATGAGGCAGGGGGAATCAAGGCACGGAGGGCACGATTGACTTACCCACGAGAAAGAGACTCCTGCGGGTCCTGCAGGCCCAGGGAAGCAGAGGGAGGTGAGGGCAGGGCCAGGCCCAAAAGCAGTGCTCCTGGGGACCTGAGAAGGAACTGAGTTGCTCTGGATGCAAAGGATCAGGAAGAAGCAGTGGTGGTTTCCCAGGTGTGTGGGGCACCAAGACAAGGAATGGGACAGGACCCAGAATAGGAGGAGAAACCCTATGCTTTTTTTTTTTTTGGTCTTTTGGTCTTTTTCAGACAGGGTCTCCCTATAGCCCCAGTTGGCCTGGAACTCCCTATATATAGCAGGCTGGCCTTGATCTCATAGAGATCCACCTGCCTCTGCCTCCTGAGTGCTGGGTTAAAGGTGAGTGCCACCATGCCCAGGTTATGTTTTTATTTTATATGAGTGTTCTGCTGCATGTATGTAATTGCACCCATGTCATGCAATGCTTGTGAAGGCTGGAAGGGTGCATCAGATTCCCTGGAACTGGAGTTACTGATGGTTATTAGACACCATGTAAGTGCTGAGAACCAAACTCTCTCAAATCTTGGAAACAATCTTTGTCTTCCACCACTACCATTTTACATGTATCCCCTTAGTATCTCTATTGTCTGTGAGTTCATTGCCCTCCCATGGTCTCATTTTTCCTTCCATCATTATTTTATTGTACATCTTTTTGTCTCTTTTTGTTTCATGACATCTAATTTTTTTGTAGTCATAATGCATAATAAAGTGGGATTTTTATTCCATACTTAGCATGTATATGTAATCTTTTGTTAATGACATAACATTAAAGTTGGCACTTCACAATCAAGTTTTTTTGTTGGTGGCTGTGCTGGATAGCTTTAGTGTCAGCTTGACACACCTGGGTTGAGGGAGCCTCAATTGGGGAATTTCCTCCATAGGACTGGCCTGTGGCCATGTCTGTGGGGCATCTTCTAGATCCTTGAGTGATGTGGGAGGGCCCAGCCCACTGTGGGTGGTGCCACCCCTGGGCATGTGGGCCTGTGTTACATAAGAAAGCAAGCTGAACAGGGGCGAGGGAAGCAAGCCAGTAAGCAGTGTTCTCCATGGCCTGTGCTCCAGCTCCTGCCTCAAGTTCCTACCTTGGGCTCCCCGATGTACTGTGACCCAAGAGATGTAAGATAAATAAACCCTTTCCTCCCCAAGTTGGTAGTGGTCAGAGTATTTTGTCACAGCAATGGAGAAACAACTAGGACAGTGGTGTTTGGGTTTTTTTTTTGTTTTCTGAGACAAGATCTTGCTGTGTAGTTTGGAGTTGGTCACTAGTACTCCTGTGTAGCTCAGGCTGGCCCCATAATTGCAACCCTCCTACCTCCAACTCTGGAATGCTACAATACATTCACCTTTTCTTGTTTTTAGAGCAATCTTGAAGATTAAATATTATCTGTCTTACAGATGAATAAATCAGCCTGACAGTAACTTGTGAAAGAAATCATAGGTAATACATGGTAAAATCATGCTCTTTCACAATGTCTCTGATGTTTTGTGCTTTTGCTTCTTATTCTTATAGATCCCATGTACCAGGATAGCCTAGAACTTGCTATGTCACAAAAGATGACCCTGAGCTCCTGATCCCTCCATCTTCACTTCTTTATTTTTTTGGTCTTTTTGAAACAGGGTCTCCCTGTAGCCCCAGCTGTCCTGGAACTCACTATATAGACCAGGCTGGCCTTGAACTCAGAGATTAGCCTGCCTCTGCCTCCCAAATGTTGGGATTGAAGGTGTGCGCCAGCATGCCCAGCCCATCTTCACTTCTTAAGTGCTGGGATTACAGGTATGTGCCTCAATTCCTGGCTCTTTTTTCATGACACATTCCATTTTTAGGAAAAAACAAAATCCAGGAAGAAACAGCAACTGTAGCAGTAATTTCACAATCTTTTCAGAGATCTGAGGTGCATGGCAACCTGAAAGCCTCATTAAAGTTTTCATGGCCTAACTCCAATCCAGAATTTCCAATATTTGTATATAAAACTGTCATCTTAGAACAGTTTCACCCCAACTAGTGCACATACCTAAACTGCACCATTTTTTAATGGCTTCACCTAATTTTGTCACTTAAAGTCAAAGCTTTAGTGCTATTCATGAATTCTACAAATATTTAGATATCCTGGAACATACACAAGTGTGCTAGGGATCATGGGGGAAACAGCTGGGAAAGACAAGTGAGGAACCAAACTAGTAAAGGAGTATTAGAGACTGTGGAGGAAGTGGTGGCCAAATAGGTGGGTAGAGAGGTGTATTAAGCTATGGGTAAAGCATATGAAGAGAAAAGCATAGCTTTGGAGGCACACAAAGGCAAAATGCTGAAGCACTGAGTTGTAGGAAAATAAACAGGAGAGACATTCTAGAATTCATTTGTTCTAGTGTCATTTTCTGTTGTGCTAAATACTGACCAACTTAGGGGAGGAAGGAATTTATTGCATCTTAAACTTTACAGTCCATCACAGAGGGAAGTTAAGGAGAAACTCAAGGCAGGAGTTTCAAACAGAAACCATGGAGGACTGCTGCTTACTGGTTCACTTGCCCTGGCTTGCTCAGCCACCTTTCCTATATAGCACAGACTCACCTGCCCAGGGGTGGTGCAACCCACAATGGGCTGAGCCCCCCTGCATCAATTAGCAATCAAGAAAATGCCACAGACATGCCCACAGGCCAATCTAATGGAAACAATTCCTCAACTGAGGCTCCCTCTTCCCAAGTGTGACAAGTTGACAAGATTAGCTATCACACCATTCAAAGGGAAAAAAATGTGTAGAAAACCCTTTTTAGTAATTGCTGTTAATTAAGGAATTTGGACTGAGGAGCCATAACTAATTCTGGGATTTATTCATTTATTTGAGACAGGATCTCACTCTGTAGCCCAGTCTGGCCTGAAACTCACTATGCAGCAAAGGCTAGCCTGGAACTTGTGATCCTTTTGCCTCAGCCTCCCAAGTGATGGAAATATAGGCATAAACTATGCTCAGTTTAGTTCTGAGTTTTTAAAATATTATTTTATGTGTATGAGTGTATTGCCTACATGTAAGTACACTCATGTCCGGCTATGCCTGCAAGTAGTCAGAAGAGGCTGTCGGATCCCCTGGAAATGGAGTTATGGCCGGTTGTTAGCCGCCATGTGAGTGATGGTATTTAAAACCGGGTTCTCTGCAAGAGCAGCCAGTGCTCTTAACCCCTGAGTCATATCTCCAGCCCAGTTCTTAGTTTTAAATGAATTGTTATAGTTTGGAGAATTTCTTTTCATCCAAATGATCACATCTGCTGGGTTTTGCGGACTTTGTCCTTTCATCTCTACTCCCACTGCGGGGACCCGTCCCAGTCCACCCATCATAGGCTAAGAGCCTTCAAACCTAGACTCTCCTTGCAGTATACACTACAAAGATCAGACTAAATCCTGCAGAGGCCTCATCAGCCTGACAATGACGTCCATGTTACTCGTCCGTTGCTAGATCTGTCCCTACTTAGACTCTTTCTCCAACGAGGCTAACCAGATTCCTTGATAATCTTCCCAAACGAGCCTCGCAATCTTACTGCATTTTCCCTTGACCTCAGGCAATCATGAGATACTGTCTGAGGGTCTATCTAAATCTACCATTTGCAAGCCACAGCTCGCCCTTGCTCCTTTGCACCAAACGTTTCTACACTGCATGAATGCAAATCACGTCACAGACCGCGGTCTTCTTCATTTTCTGTCAGTAAAGACTGTCCCGCATTCTCCTCCTAAGGCCTAACACCGCGTTAAACTCAGAACATACGTTCAACTTTAACTGAACTGAATCCGGAGGGGTTTGGGGGAGTCTGAGGGCGTGTAGCGGGAGGGAAGGAGGAAAGGCCTAGGCTGACCCGAGGCAGGACAGGACCGGAAGCACTGGGTCTCACACAAAAGACACTGACGCTGAGAATGAGAAGGCGGGGTAGAGCAGCCGGCCCCACACGACCAGGGGCCGCGGCCGTTGGTGGGCGTGGCGCGGCGGTCTCGCGGGAGCGGCGGTTGGGCGGGCCGTTGTCCCCGCGGGCGGGGCGAGTTGCTAAGGAAATGACCGCCCGCAGCGCCGCGCCGGCAGGGCGGGGTCTGGAGCGGCGCGGTTTCCGCTTCCGCTCCCTCTCCTCTCCCGTCCCGTTACCGCCTCCTGGCTGGCCTCGCGCCTTTCGCCGGCACCTTGCGTCTGCCGCGCAGCCGGGTCTGCTCCCTGCCACGAGCGCCCTCGGAGCTCCGGCTCCGGCGCCGGCAAGGGTCGCGTCCCGCTCGCTTGTCGCACAGGCCTCCGGCCAGCCGCCGCCATGGGTGCCTACCTCTCCCAGCCCAACACGGTGAAGTGCTCCGGAGACGGGGTTGGCGCCCCGCGTCTCCCGCTGCCCTACGGCTTCTCCGCCATGCAAGGCTGGCGCGTCTCCATGGAGGTGAGGCGACAAGGGGCAGTGCAGCTCGCCGCTGCACTGGGGGAACCTGATGGAGAAAGGGAGCGGGGGGATGGGGTCCTCTTGGAGGAGGGTCCCCCGGCGAGAGCCTGTAGCTGCCCTGCACTCGGCTGCGGCAAGCGCGGGGTCCGGGCGCGGTGGGAGCGGCGGCGGCGTGGGGGCCGAAGCGTGATGGCCGGTGGCGGCGAGATCCCTGCCATGTGGGCAGAGGCACCTTCCGCGTCCCGGCCAGCCGGCCTGTCTCTAGGCTTTCGCGCCATCCTCGCTGCAGCCCAGTCGTCCAGGCTTACAGGCGGCCTGAGGTTTTCGTTGTCAGCGCGAAGACCATTCGTGTGTTGGCCGGATAGATACGAATGGCTACTAGTGTTTATTTTTCGCATATATGGTGTGTCAGGCCTGTTTGAACTGGAAACTTGATGGAGAAAAGAAGACGGGGCAAATGCTCTGTTTCCCATTCTTAACCCTTAGTTGCTTTGGCTGTGGACAGCGCGTGTTAATTTCAGAGGCTCAGCCTGACCTTCACGAATTGTCACTCTTTGGTTTTCTTTTTCAAGGCCTTCTACGATCTTTAAGAAACAAATTGTGTCGGTCACTAGACTTAAAATTATGCTTGTAATCCTCTCTCACTGACTCGATTTCTTTAAAACTTACTCAAACTGTGGCTTGCCTGTGTTTATAATTTAGTTACCTTGATTTTTCAACTATTTCAACAATTTTTTCTTCAAAAATTTACTGGAAACCTTTTTTTAAATCACTTTGGATGAACAGGAAAAGAGAAACCTCTGGATTAAGAGTTATAGTGAGCAAATGACTACAATGAATAGGGAAAATTGGGTGGTAGGATGGAAATGGGAAAGACGGATACTAAGTGTCTTTGTGAAAAGTACTGTTGAAGTCGAGGCAGAGGGACCAGGGAAAAGTTCTAATTATGCCTGGAATTGAGGCTTTATCCACTTAGTAGGTGGGCTTCAGGTAAGTCAAATACTGTCTCCCTTGGGGATTTTTTTTCAAATCCTTCGCTCCTCCCTGTGGTTAGCTCTGGAATGACAGTGTGAATTTAAATGTTTCTCAGACTCAAATTTTATACCCTCATCAGCCATCATAAAGATGGTTCTGTCATTAGATATACAATTTCTAGAATGGAGAGGATCCTATTAGTTCATCTCATCTGGCTTGGTGCCCACCATTCATAGCTAGAAAACTGAGGCCCAGAAGGTTAGGACACTTGTTCCTTGGTACAAGAAATCAGCATGTATTAAAATGTTCAAGAATCTAGGTGTTGTTATCATAGGTGTCAAACTGAAGCACAGCATTCATATTTTCTCACTGATCCATGCATTGTGTAAATGGGTATATGTAATTCAGTTAGGGCATCTGAATGTAACTTCAAAAGGAAAGCCTTGGGACTGGAGAGATGGTTCAGTGGTTAAGAGCACTTGTTTGCTCTGCTGGGACCACAGTTCAATTCTCAGTACCTATGTCAGGAAGCTCACAACCACCTGATGCCCCCCCCCCCCAACTTTTTTTCATGTAAGGGCTTTCAAGTTTCCACTTCTTAATGTAATTTCCACTTCTATGGAATAAAAATGATTTTTCACTTTTTTTTTGGAAACTTTCTGGTTTTATTTATGAATTGAGTTGCTTGAGTGGTTTCTCATCCTGGGATTCTGTGTTTTGACTTCTCAGGCATTTCCCTTTATTTTTGGTTTCTCCTTTGGTAATCAGAGAACAACTTTATTTTTAGTTTGGGATTATTGGTATGGAGAGAGCTTGCTGGACTATTTCTTACATCCTAATCTTCATCCTGAAAGGTGCTTACTTGAGTATTAAAGTCTTTCTATTGTGCTATTTCTGAGTTTATTCTTGTTTGAATGTTAAATGTTCCTAATTTTGTCAGATCCTTTTCTGTTTCTAGATATATTTCTCTGATTTTGTTTCCTCCCCAAAGTATTACATAGTTCTTTGCTATTGTAAGAAAATAACTATGATAACTATGGCTCCTAGCTTAAATAAATCTTTCAAGAGAGTGTGTGCTCTTAGGTCCTCTAAAAGGGCTCAGCAGGTTAAGGCAGTTGCCACCAAACTTGATGAGTTTGATCCCAGGACCCACATAAGTGGAAAGAGAATCCACTCCAGCAAGTTGTTCTCTGACTTCCATGGGTGGGCCCCCACCCTCCTAAAATAAATAAGTGTAACAAGAAAATGTGCTCCTGACCTAGGAATATAGTTCGGTGGTCCAAAAAGAAAGTCCTCTTCTTCCTATGTATCAGGCAAATTATTTCCACCAATTAATGAAGTCCATTTACCTAGTTTGCTTGGTTCTAATGACTCAGTTCAGGTAAGGTTATCAGTACACCTTATAGCGTTGCTAAAATTCTAACTGGTAGAAGGTTCTAGTATTAGAACTGTTTTACCCCCTCTGTTGAGGCATAGATGGGAGCCACCAAAAGTTGGTGTTTAGAGTCTGGAGACATGGCTCAGAGGTTAAGAGCAGGGGTTGCTATGGCAGAGGACCAGGTTCTAAGCACCCACATGGCGGTTAACAATCATTGGTAACTCCGATTCCAGGGGATCTGACACCCTCTTCTGGCTTCCATGGGCATTTCATGTACAGATGCACTTATTTACATGGAGGCAAAATACTCAAACACAATGGTTTTTTTTGGGGGGGGTCTTTTTGAGACAGATTCTCCCTGTAGCCCCAGCTGTCCTGGAACTCACAACGTAGACCAGGCTGGCCTTGAACTCACAGAGATCCGCCTGCCTCTGCCTCCCAAGTGCTGGGATTAAAGGCATGCACCACCACACCTGTCATTAAACACAATTTTTTAAAGAAATTTTTAACCTGGCATGCTTTCTGCCTCTTTATAACCTTCTTGCTGTGGAACCAGAATGTTTTTTGCCGGGGTAAGGTCAAAAATTCCATAATGATGTTCCTCTCCTTCATAGTTTGGAGAGATCCTCCAGTTGGTTGAGCTATGTGTGTTGAGGTTAAGAGGTAGGAGAAGGGTGCAGGGAAATAGGTAAGAAAAGATTGGGAGGTTTTGGTGGCTGATGAGAAGTCCAACCTGAAAGCAATGTGCTGTTAAAAGGCAAAGAACTGTAAAATTTTGATTGTGTGGTTCTTTGGAAATATAGCAACAGTTTTCTATGAAGAGTTAGGATTTTACAAACTTCAATAAATATATTTTCTCTATTAAAAGCAGTGCCAATTTCCTGAAATTTTTTTTTACTTTTTTTTTTTTTTTTTTTTTTTTTGGTGGGGGGTATGTGTGTGCCACTGCACACACAGGAGTTCAAAGGACAACTTTTGGGCATTGGTTCTCTCCTTCCATATAGGTCCTGTGACTCGAACTCACGTTGTCAGACTTGTTGGCAAGGGACTTTATTCACTGGGCCATCTATTTGGCTTTTTCTTCTGTGTGTGAGTGTGTGTCTGTGTGTGTGTTGGGGGTGGGGTGGGCAAGATCTCACTATGTATCCCTAAGTCCTTCCCGGCCTAGAACTTGCAGTCATCCCATGTCTGCCTCCTGAATGCTGGGGTTAGAGGCCTACGTCTCCATGTCCTACTTAATATTGATTTCTTTTGAGTATAATTTTGAGTAGACTAGCTGTTTATTGTCATGTAGAAATTGGTTTATTAGTTGTCATAAAAGGCCACCTAAATTTGAATATAATGTTAACACATTGTGTGACAGTTCATTTATCCTTTTGTTTATTTTTTGTTTGTTTGAGACTGTCTCACTGTAGCCCATGTTGGCCTCAAACTTGTTGTGTAGCCAAAGATGACCTTGAACTGATCATCCTGTCTTGGTCTCCCAGGTGCTGAAGTATGCCCCTGTGCACACCTTTAATCCCAGTATTTGAGAGCAGAGGCAGGTGGATCTCTGTTGAGTTCAAGGCCAACCTGGTCTACATAGCTAATTCCAGGCCAGCTGGGGCTACAGGGAGACCCTGTCTTGGAAAACAAAAAAACAAACCAAAAATCTTTTTTCTTTTGGAGGGGGGGTCCTGTAGCTCCAGCTGTCCTGGAATTCACTATATAGACTAGGCTAAAAATCATTATCTTAATGGAGAAATATCAAATGGGATATTACAAGCATGCCATGGGGTTCCACTTCAGAAAGGGATTCAAGGATGAAGAGCATTTATTATCTGATACTCAAACTAGTATAGCTCTATTTTGTTATATTATTATTATTGGTCTTTTTGAAACAGGATCTCCCTATAGCCCCAGTTGGCCTGGAACTTGTCATGTAGACCAGGCTGATCTCCTAAGTGCTGGGAGTAAAGGTATGCATCACCATGCCCACCTTTCTAGCTCTCTATTTTAAAGCATTTCTTACTTACTAAACCAGATCATAATTCCTCTGTCTAGGATGCAGTTGAGCAAGTTTTTTTAAAGGGACATTAAAAAATTTTTTTAACACAAGCATTTTGTGTGCGTGCACATACATGTGGGGAGTCAATTGTTTTCCTGCCATGTGGGTGTAGGAGATTGAACTCAGATTACCATGTATGACAGCAAGTGCCCTTACCCACTGAGCCATCTTACGGACCCTAAAAGGATATTTAAAACATTTTTTAACATTCTTTCAATTTGATTAGCATGTACTACCTGTTCACAATTCAAAGCTAGTGTGAAATTATATCATATATGCCCATCCAAAGGGAGAAATTATTTTCCACAGTGCTGTTTCTTTATCACATCTTAAGCAACTGGAAGATACTTATATCTTCAGATCTTATGCCTCCAGATTTCAAGATTGTCTTATGTATATGTCTGTCTCTACCCTTAATTCTTTATTGGGCTATCATTTTGAAATTGTTCTCTGAGGTAAGGTTTTTTAAAATTTATTTGTTTTAAAAATTATTTTGTAAGCCTGGCATGGTGGTGAATGCCTTTAATACTAGCATTCAGGAGGCAGAAGCAGGCGGATCTCTGTGAGATTGAGGCCAGTCTGGTCTACATAATGAGTTCC